GGGGGTGTGGGGCCTGGCAGTGGTCAGAGAAGCGAAGTTGTGTTGAAGAAAGGAGGGCTAGCACTGACCATGGGGAAAGAGGGGCTGTTCCAGCAGGAGAATGAAAGCTGTGGAGAAAAGACGTTGGCTGGGAGAAGACCAGACCCTGAGTGAGAGGGTGGGCTGATTCAGGGGAGAAGTTTGGCGCTGTTGTAGATAGACATCCCAAATCTTGGTGGTAGATACAATGAGCAGCTATTGAGTAAGGTGCCTGGCACTGGTCTGGGTGGCAGCTAAATCTGCCAAGCTTTAGGGCTGGGTTGCTACTTAAGTGTGAGAGTACCCAGGACTGCTGATGTCTATTGCATTGCTGAAACTCAAAGAAGGGGGTGTTTCAAGTGAACTGAACAGGGTGCTGGGACTGGGAACAGCTGACCTGCAAAAGTGGAAGACCCCCTCCTGGTGTTTGAGAGGGTTCAGCAAATATGTCACTGTCACCTTTTTCAGAAACAGGTCCCTGAATGTCTGTCCGTAGCACTGCTCTGTTTTCCTGCCAGCTCAGGAGTGTTGGTGAATGTAAATACTGATACTTGCCAAGTGGAGAGCATTGATTAGCAATCAAATGTTTTATGTTGGAATTGTGGATACATCACATGTCTGGAGAGAATAAAAATAGAGTTATTGCATTTCCTCCCATTGGCTTTACATTAATATCTGTAGTGCTGTGCTTCACTGTTTTCCTTCCTTTGTCTCTCTGTGAATTATGATGTTTTAGCTGTAGCTGTTTGTTCTCTTGACAGCTTATAAATACTCTGCCTGACTTTTCCTTTACTGCAAAGTCTTTCCCTTGTTTACATCACTCTGTTAGCTGCCACTGCCTCAGACATATGCCGTCTATTGCTTTTGATGTGAATGAAGCTATCTGTTGATCTTTCAGGTAGCCTTTGTGGAAGAACTCTGTTCTTGTTTTGCATTGCCTCCCCTAGTGCTGGGTAGGTGGTAGTGAAGGCAAGGCTGCTCTTGTTACCGTTGAGCTGAATGAAACTCCACCTCATTATTTACTTGGAGAGACGGGTGGTAGAAATCCTTTTGATGTTATAGTGTCATCCACCTCTCTCCACTTTCCCTTTTTTGCTTCATCAGTTCTTTAAAAATACTATCTTTACCAAAAATGATACTGAATCATGATTCAAATAAATCTCCTGCATGTATATCCCAAACCAGTGATCCTTGATGTAAAACATCTGAAATCGGTGTGCACACCGATTACACCTGCACACGTGTCCATTGATGCTTTTGGGGCTACAGGGTGTGCAGAGGACTGTCCAGAAGCATTTTTATTTTGGGATCAGAGATTCTAGGTGCATCTGTACTAGGTATTACTGCAGTTTATGTTAATATATTTTATTGGGTTTGCATGGCAGAGTCTTGGTAGCTGGGGGGGCTACAGGGTGGCTTCTGTGGGAAGCTGCTGGAAGCCTTTCCTGTGTCCAACAGCACCAATGTCAGCTGTCGCCAAGGCCAAGCCCATCAGCAAGGGTGGTAGCACCTTCGGGATAACATGTTTAAGAAGGAATAAAAACTGGAAAGAGAAAAACTGCAGGCAGAGAGAGCGAGATGTGAGAGGAACAGCTTTGCAGACACCATGGCCAGTGGAGCAGAGATTCCCCGGAAGCCCATGGTGCAGCCCATCGTGAGGCTGGCTATGCCCTGCAACCGTGGAGGTAACGGTGGAGCAAACACCCGCCTGCAGCGCAGGGAGAACCCCACGCCAGAGCAGGGGGATGCCCGAAGGAGGCTGTGACCATGTGGGCAGCCCGTGCTGGAGCAGGCTCCTGGCAGGAGCTGTGGCCTCATGGAGAGAGGAGCCCAGGCTGGAGCAGGTTTGCTGGCAGGGCTTGTGACCCTGCAGGGGATCCAGGCTGGAGCAGGCCTTTCCTGAAGGATTGCACCCCAAGGAATGGACGCAGTGGGGGCAGTTCATGAAGAACTGGAGCCAGTGGGAAGGACTCAGGTTGGAGAAATTCATGGAGGACTGTCTTGTGGGAGGGACCCCACGCTGGAGCAGGGGCAGGGTGTGAGGAGCCTTCCACTGAGGGAGAAGGTGTGGCAGAGACAACTTGTGATGAACTGACCCCCATTCTCCTGCGCTGCTCGGGCAGAGGAGGGAGAGAAAGGGGGAGCAAAGCTGAGCCCAGGAAGAAGGGAGGGTTGGGGGAAGGGGTTTTAAAATTTAGGTTTGGTTTTCTTTTACTCTGATTTGATTTGTGATTAATTAAATTTCCCCCAAGTGGAGTCTGTTCTGCCTGTGACGGTCATTGCTGAGTGACCCCTCCCTGTCCTTGTCTCAACCCACCGGCCTTTCCTTGTATTCCTCTCCCCTGCCCAGCTGAGGAGGGCAGGGACAGAGCAGCTTTGGGGGTGCCTGGCCCCCCAGCCCAGGTCAACCCAGCACATAGATAAAAACTGCCTTCAAACTGCTTAGTTATGGAACTGTTAGTCAAGCCGAAGCAGTAGCCAGGAGCTCGGAATGTACAAGTATGTGAGTATGTGTCCAGCTGCTTGGACGTATTTGCTGCTGCCTTTGAACTCTGACCTGCCGTGGTGGTATGACCAAGCGCCTCCGAGCAATTTCAGTGTGTCTGCAGCTGCAGTTACAGTTTAAGTGCTCTTGAACTTACTCGTGAAAAGAACTTGATCCTTTATTTGCCACACAGAATACTGTAATTGCATATGGTGTCATACAAGTACATAATACTCAATATGTTGCTGTAATGACATTTTGTTTCCCCTCCCATTGTTTTGGCATCAATTGTCAGCTTGTTTTATGGATGTGTTTGTGACTGTGTCAGTCAGCCTGAAAAGCACCAACTGCTAAGGAATGTTAATGTTTTCCTTTGCAAAATCATGCAGTGATTCGACGAGGGTCTGGTTTTGTGGCCAGCCCTGGATACCTGTGGCTCTGCTCATTACAGCCCCGGTGAAGTCAGCCAGGCTGGTTTTGCTTGCGTTGGAGAGAGATTTGGCCCTCCACGCGCACAGACTGAGCTGAGCGCCCCATATTATATCATCGAAGAAATGCAAGTGCTTCCATCAAGGTCTGGCAAACCAAAGGAGTTCAGCAAAGATGGGGTAATGAGCTTGGAGTATTTTCCACCAGCTCGGTCTCATTCCTCTTTGGTGTATCTGTGACACTCGGGCACACAGGACGTTGAATGGTAAAGACAAATATTTGTTAGGCTGCCCGGAACGGGTTGTTGCTGTTGAGAATGGATTTGGGATTATTTTTTTTGTCCTGAAGTAGTTTCCTCAACTTGAAAATCACTTTTGCCTGATGTTTTGCCCTCTTAGCCTCACAAAGGGCACCCCTCCAACGCAAGTAAAAGCTCTGCTTTTCTTCATCTGATGGACCGGCGTTGGGAGAGATTTTAAACCCGGGAAAAAGTAGCAGTCCAGGCACAAAATTGTCTGTTTGGCTTTCAAACTGATTACCTTGAAGAAGGTGGTGCCTTCTAACTTTTCAGAGTTATTGATAGGAGACCCATCTTACTGTAACAGTGAGATGGAAACAACTGACACAGGGAAGAGCCCTTCCTCTGTGCCATTCAGAGTCTTCCAGTGCCCCAAACGCTGCCGACCACATAAAACCAACCTTCAGAGCCATTAAACAGGCCGTCGCGTCAACAGTAACAGGTGGCAGCAACAGAAGCACCAATTCAGGGAAGTACAGCCTGAGCTAATTAATAACTTCCCTAAAAATGCATTAACAAAAGGCTCCCACCGCCTCTCCCTGTTGCCTTACTAACGAGACAGGACTGGATTAATGCAGTTAAGAAAATACCTTCAGTCTCTGAAGTGGTATTAAAACTGTATTAAACCGTATTAAAAGTGAATTATTAGTGTAAAAGGAAGGTTGTTGTGGTGCTTGTTTTGTAGATCCTGGTTGTCTGCGATGGTTCTTTGAAAAGCCCCAAGTGATGTGCAAACACTGGGGGCTTTAACTCATGTCGGAAATGATCCCAAAGTATTCTTCCTCACTTTCTTCTGGTTTTATTTTGATTCATAGGGTGTTTAAACTTTTAAACCTTTGCTTTGTTACCCTTTTAGGGTTGGAATACCACTTGGGCTACTGTGCTTGTTTCAGCTTCCAAGGGGTCTTAGAGTCTCAGCTTTTATGCAGGGTCTTGACTGTTTTGCAGTTGGTTTCTGGCTCAGAGCAGAGCCTGTGATCTAATATCAGCGTATTATTGCAATTGAGAATTACGTGGGAAACAAGGATCTTAGTCTCCCATAAGACCATCCGGCTGGCTGTAGTTACAGCTGGAAGTATCTTAGGGCGGAAGGATTTACGCTAAGGTCTTCCTTTTGAGCGCCCGCTCCATTAGGGCTGTTCCATCTTTGCAGGCAGCGACTGTTTTGGGGTTCTGCGACAGGAGTGCAAGAACATCAGTGGGGAGAAAGCTCTGGCTAACCGCTTACCACTAGAGGGCAATGACCATTCTTATTCATTTTATTCTCTCTCTGGAAACACAGGCATCAAGTAAGAAAATCCTTACCCCCTGTAAGGATTTTCTGTACCGCCATGAAGACTCCTACCTTCCGCCACGAAAAGCTGGAGTCGGGCTGGCAGGCTGTGTTATGGCAGATACTCTGCAAAGCCATAGCTCTGCTGTGCTATTTAGAGCTGAAACGTGTCGACACAAACACTTAACCCGCTTGTTCTTCTTGTTTCACGTCTCGTAGGTTTGGTTTGGGTGTTGCTGTTATTCAGAGAAACTTGGAAGAAACAGAATCCAGCACAAGAGTATTGAAAAAGCGGATGAGACAAGTGAAGAATCCTTTTTGGTTAGAAATCCCTCATCCTGCTACAGCTTCGGTAACAAGTCAGTGGATTTCTGATGTGCTTGATTTTTGTCAGTTTGGGTTCCCAAACTTAGTGCTTTCTGTTTTCTTGCTCTTGCCCTTTTCCTTTATCAAAATTCCTCAGAAACACGCTTCCTCCCATCATGACAAAGGGAATAATTTTTACACAGCTTATAAATGTGGTGTTTTTAAAAGTGAAATGTTTGGTTATTTAAGTACAGTTTCATTCTTATTAATGAAACACTTCCTGCTATAACAGATTTTAAAGTAATAAAAATATTTGCAGGTTACCAGCTACTGCGGGCGTTTTTGCAAACTGTGCAGAATTGTAGAATTCTATAGAATTCATTACAGAATATATGCCACCCACTTAAATCTAAGTCTCGGTCTCCAGCAGTGTTTGGAAATGCACTACTGGAAATAAAAAACAACCCCCAAACCCTCCCTCTTTATCTGTGATTCAGTGGAAACTGAATTTAAATATCTGTTTGTATCAGTTCCAGTAGTTCCTAACATCCTTGAAATCACTGACATAGGAAGTGAAATTCATGCCCTTCTGCATCACTGGGGGGTAGTACACAAGGCTGAGTGTCTTCCACCAGCACGGACAGTGGAGCCTTCCTGTGAGTGAGGAAGGGGCTGCAGCGGTTTTACCCTTCCCTCAACATAAAAAAATCCCCAAAAAACCCCAAAGCCAACAAACCAAATAACTTAGTCTTCCGGTAAATTTTCAGGAGTTCTGAGCACTTGAATTTGGTGGGACTTTTTTATAGAGTTCTGCTCCTGTTTGTGCTGTAATTTATCTCCTCACACCAACTGCCTCATCTCCATTGACTTTAATAAGCACTGAACCTCGTCTAAATTCCTACAAGATTATGTTGTAATGATGAAAATCTGGGACACTGAAGTTGTTTTCTGCTCATTGCCCTTTAAAAAGCT